AGATATAATATAGACACATTAGTGAATATTAAAATTATATTTTATGTGCATTATGATGTACACACATTACATAAAATATATTTCTAATTCATATTCACACACGTGTGTATCTGCTTCATCTCTTTTTATTACATGTAACAAAAAGGTGTACTGACTTCAGTATCCTTTTTTTTCAGCATCCTCTTTTTTCAGTATCCTCAGTATCCTCTTTTTTCAGCATCCTCTTTTTTCTACGTTTAATAAAAAGAGATATGTTTTTTTATGATCAAATATACAGATATTAGTGATATATGCTTTTATGTTTTCAATATCAGCATATACATACAACTAATATAAATCATAGCTAACGAGAGTTAAATTCTCATTTTATGTGTACAGATATACTCATTGATCAAATTACGAATTCTCTGATAAATCTTATTTTATGTGTACATATATACGCATTATATATATATATTTATATATATATATTATATATTTATATATATATTGTATCTGCATACAATTTTAATATTGCATATTTAAACATAGGGAATGCATAAATAGCTTAGCATTGGTAACTTCTATCTGCAACGTATGTATATTCACATTATAGTATTATATATTCACATGTATATTCACATTATAGTATACATATATGCAATATTGTATAATATTGCCGATATGTGTATTATATTTAAGTACACACATCACTAATATTTTAACATGATTAACTTCTACTTCTTTTTATTAACCGTAGCAAAATATGATATAGCTACGTATATTATATGTGTATAATATATCTATGTATAGCTAATACATATCACATTCTGACCTAAAATGACATTGTACAACAGAAAAAATGCTATTAGGTCCATGTGTCAATGTTCATTGTCAATACTGAAAAGCTATAGTTACATATTTTCAGTATTTACGTCCTCGTAGAATCACTTTTTCCTATTCACTTTTTCAATATCATTTTAGGATTTAGTCAAGATGTAACATGTATTATTATCAATATATGGACACGTATTTCATATATATATATATATATATGTATATACATATATATATAATATATATATATATATTAGGTAGTAAAAAGAAATCCATTATTTTTCCAATAGATGGCTTTAGTAATCTGAATCACGCGTAGACGAGAATCTGTTACATATGCATTTTCTGGGATTTAAACCAAAAGGAAGTTAGGGTTCACAGTCGAGATTCTTTTTCTTGCGCTCACCAAGAAATCGTTCGGAATCAAATTTCTTTGGTTTTTCAAAATACTTAGGAATACATCATGATAAAGTCCATAAATTGGTATCCATATATACCTTGTCCTTTCCTTATAAAAGGTTTTATATCAGTATCGGTAATATGAAATCTTTTATATATAATCTATCAAATAATACACTACTTGGATATATTTTGAAAGTTTTATTGATGAACGGGTTAAACTGAACAAAAAGTCCTTTAATTAACATTTTGTGAATTTTTCAATAATTAATGAAAAATAATAATTACTAAAGTAGAACTATTCTTAATGACATAAAGAATGCCTGCTGTTACTAATAGTTGCATATATTGCGATATATAATAATAGTTTACACGATTAAAGTGAACATTGAAGAAAGTAAAAATATTATTATTTAAATATTAATATAGTATTACTTAATATTTACTAATAATTGAATTAATGTGACATTAATATAATATTATATATCGAGCTAATTTTTAACTGTTACTACATTAAATATAATAATCGTATATATGTGAAGAGATCAGTTTGGTAAAAGTATACAATTTATAGTATACAATTTATAACAAGTCAAGTTTGAAATATTAATCAATGGAATTAAATAATACATAACACTTAAAGACAAATATTTTATATACACATAGATACATAAAAAAATAAATACAGAAAAATATCCTTAGCTAATTTTTAAAGCTTTTTTCATTCTATATTTTTCATATGATATTTTTATGCTATTATATATATCCATATTATTAATAATAATAATTTTATAGTTATTTATATTATTTACAAAAAAAATTATAAATTTATCGATAATAATATCGTGATAATAATATCGCAAAATAAGAAATAATATTCAATCCATTAATCTTTTTTATACTGTTTTCTTTTATCATTTTCTAAGAAACTTACATAATATGATTAATATGTTTAATATATATCGAAGATTGTTATTTCTTGAACTTGCAGCAACATTATCGTCTTCTTACCATATAGAAAGAAACGTACCATGTTCATTTGAGTTTTCATTGTTTTCATTTTATCTGAAGTTTAAGAAACATTTTTATGTAATATAATTTATATTTTGGATAATCATTTTTGTACATTTTATTTAAAAACCACTAGGTATTTTATTGTATCTCTCATACCATAAATATAGTTGAATATGAAATTTTTTAATTATGAGGTTTTATAAATATTTATGTTTTATAAGTATATATGTTTTTAAAAACTTAAACAATTTTACAAAATTATTATATTTTTCTTTAGATCATCTAGACATTATTATTATTTATTAATTACAAAAACAGGAGTTGTTTTTCTATATCAAAAAATGTCTTTCTTTTATTTAAAATTTGTCAAGCCATAAAAATTTATTAGCCATTAAAATTCTCTTACATTTAGCGTGTTCCATTTACGTGATTAGTTGCAAGAGTGTGATGCGTATCTTTTCTTGGTAACACCTTTAGCCAGAAACCGCCTTCAGGTTTTATGTTGAAGCTGTTCTTAGCGATTTTGATTGGAATTGGCGTCTTCTCGCAGATTTTTAAATCACAACGGGCCAGTAATTGGAAAAGTATAACTTTTGTTTCCAACAATGCAAATCTGTTACCTATGCACATCCTGGGACCAAGACCAAAAGGAAGGTAGGCTCCGCAGTTGAGATTTTCCTTCTTCTGCTCACCAAAAAACCGTTCGGGGTCAAACTTCTCCGGCTCCTTAAAGTAATTAGGATCATGTTGAAGTCCATAAATCGGTATCCATATGCCTTGTCCTTTCTTTACAACAAATGGTTTCAATCCTGGTAATGCTGGTGGCAGCTCAAAATCTTTTACGCATATTCTATCCATTGCTACAGCAATCGGATATATCCTGAGAACTTCGTTGACTACAGCATCTAAATATTCCATACCATTAATCGCTTCATAAGGTGCTTGTCCATTCGTTTCTTCTAAAACTTGGTCGATTTCCTTTCGAAGTTTGTCTTGTATATCTCTTTATTGCGAGTTCATGAGCGGCAAAACTCATTAACGTTGAAGTACTCTCGAAACCAGCAAGGAAAAAGACAAATGCTTGTGCTACCATATCATCGGTACTCAATTCTGCCTTGCCTTCTTTACCTCGGGTTTCCATCATCAATTGCAACATATCAGGGCGAACGATACCATTTTCATCCCTAGTTTTTATAGTAGTTTTTATAAGGTCTCGGAAAAAATCCGTTATTTTTTGTCGAATGATTTTCAAGTTAATTAATCGTGCCAACCAAGGGAAGTTTCTAAATATGTAAAACTTTATAAAAGCAGTGGTGTTAAAAACTGTCGCTTCTTTGCCGTATATATAGAATTCGTTTTTCGGGTTTTTCGTGGAATCAACACTGACACCAAAAGCGCAAGTAGCAATCACATCGTTAGTATATCTCGTAAAGACGTCTTTCACTTCCAGTATTCTCTGCTTCGGTGGCAATTGCGCCAAATAATTACCGAAATTGACACCACAGTCCGACATTAGCTTAAATATGTTTTTCATTTTGCTTGATGTAAAGGCTGGTCTCAATATAGACCGTACCTGTCGCCATTTTTCTCCGCGAAGAACAAAAAGATTTTTGCCGATTACTGGATCTTGATCTTCATTTATAAAACTGCGATGATCCATAAAATTAGCGAAGTGTTTTAACGCGATGGATTTAATAAGCTCGGGATCGCGAATTACCACAATTGGAACGTTCATCTCAAACATACCAACGTACTTGGCTTTAGGATGTAAGTTATAAGTGGTCTTGATCAATTCGCTTATTGACTGAAGACGCAAAAACGTTGGTCCTATATTTCCCACTATCGGAAGTATACATATATATATGTACATATATATCGTTGAATTAGTATACAATATAGTTTTGTAAAAATTGAAATAAACTTTTGCACTTTTTGGTAACCAGATTGTTTCTTAAGTATTTTTATTGTACTGTTAATAACAAAGACAATACTTAATAATAAAGCATAATGTTACACGTCAAAAGCTGACGGCTGACTGCTGCCGCACTGATGCAATCTTTCTAATATATCTGATTCGTCATCGCACTTACGTAAGAAACGCAACGATATTTAGATGCTTTCATCGTGCTATATTTGTTACACAACAAATGAAACATAATAAATAAAAATTTTTTATGATTAATCGCATCCTTTCACATTGTGTGCGTGTGCGTGCATGCGTGTGTGCGTGCGTGTGTGTACATCATTCCTATCTATATCAAAACAATAATTTTTATTTTATACCTGAAAAGAAATAATTTCTACTTAATTATAATAAATAATTTCTCATTAATGAAAATTTTGATTTCTCCTCTTTTATTAATTCTCCTAATATTCCAAAATATCTCAAAAAGATAAAAAAAATGTATATATGTTTTAAAATTCAACTTACATCTTGAGAAACAAGATTTTGACTGAAAGTTTGATCTATCTAGCACGAGAGTAAGCACAAAAGTAAGAAAGAGTAAGAGAAAGGGGATGGGAGAATGTACGGGGGAAAGAGAAAGAACAGGAGAGGATTGGTGGAACAAAATTCATTTGGCCAAATTAAACAGAGTTCTGCAATTTGCGCTTAAGGAGAGTGTCCTTTTATCATTAAATATTAAAAACACCTTTCTCGTAACTGTGTTTATGGATTGAAAAATCCTTCTCCACAACATTAAAGTATCAACAACAACGCAATTCGCTAGCTACATTTGAATACGAAAAACGAAAGAAAATTAAAGACTTACAATTTTGTTATCGGCTTCTGCAGTAAACACATCACAATATGTGTTGCATATAAGAGTTTCAGATCTTGCACGTTCATAAAAAGTAGCTGGCGAATTGCGGAAAACCTAAATGAACAATCCTATGCTTTTAGAAACGCGGTAGGAGTTTTAGTATAAGAGAAAAGTGTATCCGAAAATTTCGTTTGTATATTATAGTGAAATTGACGTGAAGCCATGAAACTAAGTAGTATTTTAGTTCCGCAATATTCCGACAGCGGCGCTGTCATGAAAAGTGCGTCGCTGAACCATAGAAATGATCTGAATTATCGACCTATTCAGGCCCATATCAATAAACGTGCCCTGGTCAAAGTTTTTTCTTTTGAGAGGAAAAATAATAATAAAATAAATATGATATTAGTTATTTCAATTTTGTTGAAATAATTTCTTCTTAAACAAGAAACATACCATATTATTTACATATGAAGATAATTATTTTGATTATACTGTTCTGTCTTTTACATACATTTTATTTAGTAAATTATTGATGCATATATATAAAATAACACATACATATATTAGGTGTTGGAATTAATTCGTAGCGTTTT